CACCCTTAGCATGGGATCTTTTACTGTGCTTTCTACCATAAGCTACAGAGTGTTTATCTCCACTGCTACTGCTTGCACTGCTACCGCTACTTGCCCTATCACTCTGGCAGCTGCAATTCACCAAGGAGCATGTACTGCAGTTCTGATTATGCTGCCCCAGCTTCTTCTTCAGCCTCTGGACTTCTTTCACGACCTCTGTTGATATTCTCAACTCTCTAGCAGAAGATTTTGTCTCTGATTGATTTGAGAGCACTTTACCCTTCATGAAATGGAACTCAACATAAACATCCCCAACCAGTGTCCATGCCTTGGCCCAAAAGAGGTACGTAGAAGAAAACTGCTCATAAGCAAGAAACCTGTCATTGGAACTGGATTTCACTTCTTTTCTGTTGCCAACACACGATATCATCTTCTCATTTCCATCATTGCATTTTATTGAGGATGAATAAGTAACCATTGAGGAAATAAACCTACTGTCTTCCAAGAACTGTGGCATTGATCCATATACAGCACATGCTAATTCTACTACCTTCAAAGCTTGATGCAGCTGTTTATCCTCCTTATAAGCTTGTCCTAGTGCCAAATAAGATTCTCCAAGAAGAAGAACTAGTTTCCACAGTTTTTCATCCACTTTTGATGTTGGTAGCCACTGTCGGATGTCACAGACTTCGATACAATCAGCATCACCACATGCACAAACAGAAAAGTTCATTGAGGAAGGTGGCCCATCAAAATAACTGCCTTCGTCAAGCAACTCTGAATCAGAACTTTGCAGCTGGTGCATCCATCTGAGCGACTTGATAGCTTGAGAAACATGATGTACCGCAGCTAACTTAGATGAGACTGGATCAGCCACAGTTTGCACCACATGGGGAGGTGTTGGAGGAACTTTGCACACAGCAACCATTTCATCACTACTGGAACTAGGCAAAACTCCTGAATCTTTTGATTCAGTATCATCCAATGCTATCAAATTTCCTGGAGTCGAAATATTTGACTCCAAAGTCATTTTTACCGAGGCTTCTGATATTACTTCCTGAAAAGCTTTTCCCTCCTCACCCCATCTGTCTTCTGCAACTGAAGAGACATTTTCATAAGCAACTGATTCAGAGAATCTACTCAAGGGGTCTGAGGAGTCAACTGGAACTGTAAATTCACATTCTCCTGGGAGTGATTCAAATGTCAATTCCAGCTCCTCATCATGATTCAAAAGGAGCCTTGCAAATTGTTCATGAGCAGATGCACGCACCACCTGTTTATATCATATTGTTTTAATCATCGTGTCCTCAATCATAATTTTTTTTAAAAAACCTGTTTATATCATATTGTTTTAATCATTGTGTCCTCAATCATAATTTTTTTAAAAAAAACAAAAAACACAACAAGAAAAAGGACCACAACCCTCAAACTAAATGTAACTCAATATTCAAGAAAACATAAATACCAGATGGTCCGGATCATCTAGAAATTCCAAACATTGTTGGAAGAATCTGGCACACTTGGCCCTATTATTAGGAGCCTGCATGAGAAAAACTAGGGATTAGAAACACCAAAACAGCTTCTTGTAGTTTCTGAAGTGTTGTAGCAATACAAAATTTCTACTTATTTTATACCATTGAAAGGGAAAGCCTGTGAGCTATACGATAAAGGAGAGTTCCTAAAGAAAATAAGGAATCGCTTCTCCCTCTATGCATTAAAGAAGGCAGGGAGCTTGTGCCATCATCACAATCGTTGGAGGAATGAGTTTTGGGAATAACACAAAGATCAAAAAGTTGAATCATATCTTCACCAGCACTTTTATAAAGCTGTAAACCAGATTAAAAAGACCGCATCAGCTGGAAGTCTTAATTAAAATATAAAAAACTTCAAAAAGATAAGGTCAAAATGTATTTTAAAATCACTTTTGTACCCAGTAAGCACCAGGATCTTGCTTGCAGTTTTCTTCAAGGAACCTCAAAACAGAAAGGCCATTTTGTTGGACAACATGAGGATGGAAAGCAGGAGTGCCATCTTCAGAGATGCCTTTTAACAGGAATATATCATCTGTTTTAAGTAGCTCATAACCCTGAACAACACCATCTTGATGATAACATATGGCCAGCTCAGGAACACTAGCCATGACATTGTCAAGCCAGGCTTCAAGCCAAGTTAACGGAGTGACCTGTTAAAAAGGGAGAGAAAAAATTAGAAGACAGCAAATCATAAAACAGTGACGGGGTTACTATTTTTTCATTACCTGTCGAGTTACATCCCATAAATGCAAGCTGACAGCAACGTATTTTTCATTACTGAACAGAAGCAAGTCACTTCCTAAAAGCATGCGGAAATTGTGAAATTGCCAAAATAAAACCCTTAGAAATCCATCATTACTGACTCTTTTATGTTTTTCAGTTTCATGCATTGAGCTTCTGGGCTTCTCACCAAGGTGCGAAGACTTCTTTACAGGATGATGGCCCTTATTTCTTTTATTTTTTTTACTCTCCCAAAAAAAGTTATCCTGTTTAACATGTGGATATTCTGAGCAATGGTTAAATCCTTCATTTCTAGAAACATCATCACTCTGCCCCACAAACTGGGATGCATCTCCCCCTGGAAGAACAGATGAATTTGATTGCCCCTTTGATGAAGCAGGATAGGTGGGTGGACAATCACAAGCCTCCATTCTAACTGAGTGCATAGCAAAATTCAAAAATAAAGATTGATCTGTGCATTTTTTTGATTGATTTTTATGTCTTCTGACCAACCTTTCTCCCTCCTCTGCATCGGGTCTGCATGTAACAATATTCAAGATGTTGAAATATTTGCAAGAAAATTAACAAAACTATGAATATAAAGATACAAACCCTTTGTTGAGAACAAGAGTCTGTCCAATACGGCGTACTGCAATTGATAATCGAGCCTTGGAATATGGTATTTTAAAGATCTGCTTAAGAATGTCAGCTGAAGCAATCACGTCTATTTCATCTCCATACTCCACCAAACCAGATACAGCAAGGGCTTCACATTTCCTAGTAAGATTTGATGAGATGGCATCAGCATCCCAAGGAAATTCTGCCAAGTTTAAAATCCAAACTAATAAGTTCAAAAGTTACAGCTTAAAAAAAGATGAGGAAATAATTGAAAACCTATTCTTGCACTTCTATTTAGCATGAAAAAAGTCAAAGAATCAGATAAAATAACTAAAATTTTTCATTCAAGTCCTAAAACAATTCAACACACTAAAGGAAGTTTGAAGCAGATAACAAATTCCAGTCCACAATGGATAACTGAAACTTCCTATTATAGGACATGCCCTGCTAACTAAGATAATAGTAGAAACTCCATTATATTCCTAGGGCTTATGGCTAGCTAATCCTCCATATTCAAAACATAACATAAAGCATCTGATTACAGCACTGACCATGAACTATTCAAAGACACATCCATAAGAGAAAATAACAATCTCAATTGCCATCTTAACCTCGACAAGTAAAATCACTAAAAAAAAGAGCTCAACCAGAACAACAAGTGCCTCAAAGATCCTAAAACATGACAATCCAACATACCTTTCTACCAACTCAATGCATAAACTTACTACAATCATCACATTTCCACCAGCAATAACAGCTTCGATAGAACACCAGTAAAAGATATTCGTTTTCGTCTTTCTAACCAAACATAGGCAAATTCTAGCATCTTTATCGAAACAACAAAATCCTAAATCATAAGCCACACCATTCATTCATTTCATCAACGTCACAACTCAAGGTCGAAAACACTCAATCAGTATACAAATTAAACACAAACATGTCTCCACCATCATCAATATAACAAAACGCAATAAATAAAAGTTTACCTCCTTTGAACTTGGACTGTACAGCAGCACTAATCGGAAGAACTTTCTCCGGCAAGTTAGAAACCACAGGGAGCGTATTCAAATCAGTCTCCGTCGGCAACATCCGGTACCTCGGTGCACTAACACTACTTTTTTTATATATAAAAAAAAGTAATTACTTATTCTATATACATAATACATAACAAAATAGAGAGCAAAAAGAATTATTACGTTTGGCGAGAAGAAGGAACGAGAGCGGAATTGAAGGCGTGGAAAGATTTGTCCGTAGGAACAGGGATAGAACCGCAGAGAAAACCGACAGGTGGTTGAGGTCTAGCGATTTCCAGTGTACCTACGCGTTGTAGTTCTCTTAACGAGCTCGATTCTGATTGCAGAGACGGCGGCAGTGGCAGCGGCAGCGGCGAAGGTGACGGTGATTGTTTCTCCATCTCCATCTCCATCGATTAAATTGGTTTAGTAATATTTATCTCACTTCTTCTTCAATAACTGAATCAAAATGCTGTTGTGGTCTTGTTTTCAGGTTGATGATGATTTTTAGTTGTTTCCGTTTCTTCTTTCTCTTCCAGAACTCGCTGGAAAGTGTACTTAGGACAGCAGCTGTTCAAAAGGCAAATCAATCCTCTTCGTTCGCCTCCTCAAGTCCCTACCGCCTGTAAGGGAAAAAACAAAAACGTCAAGTCGTCTATTGTTTTACAATTTTAGACGACAAGGCTCGGATTATACATTGCCTAATGGACGAGAAGGCTTCAGTAAAACACTGTTGATGCATTCTGTTAATCGACGCTCAAATCACTGTTCATTACTTAATTTACATAATCAGCTAAAATATATCATTTCCTTATAAATTAAAATTAAAAGAGATTAAGAAAACAGTATCAACGTGTTAGTTATCCTTATCCATCCATGATCACTGCTCATCACCTTAGCAATAACTTGATTTTTTTTATTTCTTTCAAAGCGTTAATTAAGAGAGATTAGTGTGCTAATTTGATTTCTTTCAATGTGTTTATTAGTTTATATCTCACCCTAATCTGGTCGAAAAGTTTTAATCTTGCAATTAATTTTACCATTTAGTAAACTGATGAAATTGCATAGAGATAGAACAAACCTCAGTCTTGCTTAATTGGGAAAGATCCAAGTAGTTATAATAATTCATAAAGACAACAAAAGAAATCAAAATCATCGATATATGTATTTGGGAGAATTACAGTTAGAGCCATTGAGGTAAGAAGAAGCTTTGAGAATACTACAACTTATTAAGCTTTTATACGCCTTAATGCGAGGTATGCCAATAACCTATACCCCACGAACATGAATATCAGGGCACCAACACTAATGGCTGGGCTAATTTGCCCTGCGACATCTTGTTCGACGAACTTGCAGCTTGCTCTATCACTTCCATGAGGTAGCGAGCAACCCAGCGAAGATGAAAGATTCTTGCCTCCACCATATTGAGCATTAATAAGTAGCTTGTAGACGTAGAATGTTGTAGAAATGTACTTGATCCAAGCCATGCATGGTGGCAGTTTATGCACGTAAAATCCTCCTGTTAGCACAAATGCTAGCATTGTGATTGTAACTATAGTTGAAGCTTGTTTAGCATCCATTATTGCTGCACCTAAAGCAAGGCCAAGACCCTGGGAGACGAGCACGTAGCCGAGTAAAAGCAGCAGAGTCAAAAGGAAAGCACCCAATTCGGGTTTCAATCCGGCCATCCAATACGTCACAGAAAGAAAAATTGTGGGGAGGATGAGCTCCATCGGCAAGTCTCCGACTATCCGAGACATGAAATATGAAGAGAGAGTGTACATACCGGAGGCCCTTTCCTTCACAAAGATTGCTCTTTCTTGAGGAAAAACAAACACCGAGTTAGAAGATGGGAAGACCCCCCAAAAAATTGACATGAAGAACAGGAGACCCAGACGATCTTGAATATCTCGAAAATCCGAGTGCCACCACATTAGACCAGCTAAAACTGCAGCCATGATTACTTGGGAGATTCTCAAAGTGTTGAAAGACTCGTGCTTTCGTTCTTTGAGGCTTCTTTGAAGAAGAATGCTGAATTGGTTGAACCAAGACGAAATGCTAATTCTGTCGCTGCTTCTATGTTCTTTGGAAGAATGGCTTCCAATGAAACCGTTCTCTTTTGTTGAAACACTACCACTCTCCATGCATGCAGCTTTCACCTTCGGAGCTAACAAAGTGTTATAAGATGCAATGAGAGATTGCTTTACATTCGGCTGATCTCTCAATTCACTAGCACCATCAAGTTGGCACACACCTGCATAAGTTAATCGAGAGGTTAAAATTTGTTCAGGTATAGATTATATCCAACAAGCTGACATTAAACAGGCAAATGTTCAATATATTTTTAGTGACAATCAAGCCATGCATAGATACATAGCATAAAATTTTGCAATTATTAAGCTATTCACTATTCAATCACGAGGCCACTACAGAACCTCAAATCTGAAATCTTTTTATAAGTAATTCCCACAAAAATGCATACAAACTTCCTAGCTGGGATTTACAGAGATTGAGATTTCTTGGATTAAAAATTGAATGTTGAGATTTTCAATAGTAGCCACTTTGAGATTTATAGAGCTGTAGCCTGTTCATAAAAAAAAAAAAAACAGGGTTTTTTTCCTTGGAGCTCAAAGTTAGATACAATGTTGCAGTTTAATCTATGCTGCTTTGAAAATGGAGAGATCATTTCAGCGTGCCAACGGACCAAAACAATTATATGTATGGGAATTTAACCTGAATAGACCACCTCATCTCTTTTAGCTGGGAATTTGGAATATAACTCCAATATTGTAGCTATTATTAGGAACAAGTGACGCACCGATTTTTTAAAAGAGGGTATTGCTTTATCAAGCTTAGATAGAATTTCAGAATAAGACACGGAATCATTGTGATACATGGCACTGAAAATTAAGGGATAAGTATCCAAAGAAAATGCTTAATAGAGTGGAGCTGCTTTTCTTGGAAGCAGAAAGTGAGAGGGGAGGAGGGAAATTCCTACTGATAGCATTGGACCAACCATATAAAATATATCTTCAGATATGACCAGGCAGCACCACTAAGCTACAGCAGCCAACCAAATTTTTAGTAATGATACCAGTAACATGTACCTTATACCACATTTATATGAACCCAAATCTACCAAATAAAGAATGAAAACGAAACAAGCAGACAGCTAAAAAGGAAATGCACTAGAGATTAAAAAATAGTGGTGATTAATTTAATGCTGAAATTCATGCTATATGCACAAAACTATAGAACGAGTAATGAGCAGCACTGCTTAGCTAACAAAAGCTGACCAATGTTTGTGGTAAGGTGGGTGTCCACTAGTGTTTGTGCTGCTATAGAATTCAATTAGTGTATGATTTCAATTATTTTAACATCAATCAAGGCAGATAAAGTTGTTTTATGAAACTTTTGTGAGAGAATGCCCTAGGAAAATGCAAGCCAACCCAACACGTGCCCCCCCCCCTAAAGAAATCCTAGGCTAAAGAGTTGCGAAAAAGCTTGCAAAAGAGAGAAAACATTTTAAAGACTTCTGCGGTGTGGCCGGCCATGCAATTAATCTTCAAAATGTTGGAGTCAATTTGGAAAACAATCATGCGTAGCAAGCCCAGTATCTGCCACTAAAATCTTGACACTTGACCAAAAGACAGAAGAGAAGAAAGAATCCCAGTGATGGCATTGACATGGCACGGAACTGAATAGGAAAGTCACTGTTACAACCACCGCTGAACAAGAATCACAAGAAGTTGGTAAGTGGCCACTATCTTTTCAAGATAGCCACCACTCACCATAAGATCACACACATCAAAGCGTCACATATGACGGCAAATTCTCCTAAAATGTTGATGCTGTGAATGGCAGAATTTACCAAGAAGAGGGAAAATGCATGAAAGGGAAGATCAGGATTTAATTAGGAGACAAAGCATCAGAACTAGCTAGGACCCCAATAGCCCTAGTTATCATAATCAAAGGACCAAAACATTTCAATGACTTAAACATCAAATAATATCGTCAGATGTTGATGGCTTTCGGACCCCAACTACATTTTTGCCCAAACTTCCACGTTGCCAAAATCTTTAAAGCTCTCCCTACATGTATCCACTACTAGCTAGGGATATAGATTGATTAGAAAGTAGAGAAGGCTAAAGACACCAATGATCAAGAGACAACGATGCCATTTGCCACCTTCAAAGTTCTCTTGAGACTAAAAGAGGCTTTCTCACGCTATGAATGCCGTACGTCACCAATATTTTCCTCACCTTATCATCATAGTGTCCAAGAATCGATAAAAGAGAAAGCTTTGAAAAAAGAAAGAAGCAAAAACAATAAACAAACCTCTCCAACGTTTTCAATGTAATAAACCTAGCCTTAAACAAGATTACCCGAGGATTACCCGAGGATTAAAACTACAAGTCAAAAGTACACTTAACCCTAGGCTGTAAACCTGTACTACAATTATTTATTTGCGGACTTTTGTCTTAGTGGCTTGCCCCCACCCAACTATTCTCAGCAAAATAATGGAGGCAATAATATTTAAACGTACATTCCAAAGCTAGATTTTCAAATATTATATATAATTTGATCGAATGTGGTAGTGCCAAACAAAAAGATTGGCATGCAATGAATATATTTCCTTCAAACTTTGAGTGTGCTCCACAGAGATAATCACAACGCTCCCTCCTTTATTAAAGTATAGAATACTACAGTATCAGCTTAATTACTCCATAACCTAATTCATCTCTTAACATGAAAATACTTCGTGGGTCTAGGTCCTTTTTCGATTAAGAAACTTAATACATTCTAGTTTGGCAAAGAATATACGACGATTCCCTTTAACAGTAACGACACCCGGCACTCAATATTGACAATTTCACTAAATGATGGCTTGTGATAGTGTAAGGAACCACCCTCCTCGAAAAGTTATACAAGTCGGTCAACTCATGTGTTCATCCATGTAATTCAATGTTGTATTGTACTCCATCCATTCCGAACGACAGCAGATGATGTGATTCTTCGGATAAAAACCTAGACATAGCTAGCCAAAAACCATAGCTAAGGATATATATGGCAGCAGGGTCCATTCTAATACCATCTGTACGTATATGTGGTACTTAATTTTGGGTCCTATTTTGTCCTTTACTCGGATCCCACATTGGGAAAATGTTTCCAAGTAACATTGTATTCTCAACAAAAATTATGAAAGGAGCCTCTATTTCCAACACTCAAACATGAGAAACTCAACCCTTGAACGGCAAGTTGTTCTTTTTAGAGATTGTTTGGCAACTATAGTTTAATGTTCTCCGAAATGAAGAGGCAAATCGTAGTTTTCGATGAGATATGGTGGAGTATATAACACGCACTTCAGATCGCACGTGGAAGAATTAGGGCGGAAAGGTTGAAAAGAAGGGAGCAATAATAAAACAGAGTGTAAGAAGTCAAATCGAGTTGGCTAAAAGAGGTAAATAAAGGAAGGAAAGGAGATCATCGGAAAGAAGACGAGGACACGTTGAGAGCAACAGAAGAAATATTGTTCGCCACTATTACAGAACAATCTCTACATCCATCACGATCCCAAAAATCAAAACACGCATCACACTCGAATAATTATTGATTCATCAAACCATTATGATCATCATCACCACCACTACCATCCAACCACCACCACTAGGTAAGGCAGCTGCCTAGCTAGCTGATCACTTTGTCAGGTGTTTTCTTTCTTAGGTCTTAGAAAGGTGCTGGTAAAGACGTGTATAATAACTCCAACTCAACATCAAGATTAAAAAATGAATGCCAAGTCATAATCTACAAGATATCCACACTCACGGCCTCTACAGCTAATGTGGTGTGGCACAGAAAATAGTTATTGCAGCTTCAGTGGGTCACCATAACCTAGTGTGGGTCTGCCCCAGAACTTAGAGTTATACAAAAGGGACCGGGATTGTGTGTCCACGTCTACTCCAGCTTATAGCTCTGATCACCGATACAGATGACATGAGAAAAAAAGAAAAAGTATGGAGAAGTAGTGCATCTACATGCCACATGATGTTGCCTTCATAATGGATCGACCACCTCATGACCTGACTCTGTTGCCATCTTCATCAAGTCCTACAGTTATCTCATATATTTTAGTCTTCCAAAACTTACTTCTGCTACCATCTTAAGCCTTAACTACCCCAACCAAGTTAATGCTCACGGGCACATTTCTTCAAGGATCTATCTTCTAGCTAACGCTACACAAGTGAATGTTTTCAATATGGCACAAACACGTGCAATTGTTGTTAACTAGATACGAAGGGTTCTGGTCATGCGCACAACCGACTAGGAAAGGAGAGAGATAATATAGCACAAAGAAAATTACAAATTAAAAAGAAGATTGAAGCATACGTACCATTAGCGAGATCAAGGAGAAAATCAGCAGGGTTCATGGGGAAAGACGGCGAGTATCCAACCGACTGGAAATAGGCCATAGCTTCACTTCCCTTGCCGAAATACAAACACCTTCCTTCACTTAACACCAGAACCGAGTCAAACATCTGGTAAACTCTACTTGAAGGTTGATGCATGGATGTAACAATAGTCTTTCCCTTTTGTGCAAGTGTCCCTAATGTCAAAAGCAGCCTGTAAGCCGCGGTTGCGTCCAAACCTGACGTGGGTTCGTCAAGAATGAGCAAACTAGGGTTTATTAACATCTCGTGCGCTATACTCACTCTCTTTCTTTCACCACCAGAAATCCCACGTATAAAACCGTTTCCAATTATTGTATTCCCACATTTTGCCAACCCCAACTCGGATATAACTGACTCAGCTACCAAAGTTTTGTCTTGCTTTGATAGTGATTTTGGCAAGCGAAGTAAAGAGCAAAAGACTAGGGTTTCACGAACTGTAAGGTGGGGATAGAGGATATCATCTTGAGTAACAAAACCAATTCTTTTCATTATTTGTCTCACTGGTTTTCTGTTGTTTGTGAGCACTGTTCCTGTGAAACCGTTTGCTTGGATTCTTCCGGAAAGTGCATTAAGAAGCGTTGATTTTCCACTTCCTGATGGACCAAGAATGGCCAGGATTTCTCCTGGGGATGCCATGCCAGTGATCCCATTCAAGATTGTACGATCTTGAAATTGATCAGAAATTGTAGGGCCATGGCCGAAAATCCTCTTGATATTACTTCCTTTGTTCTTGTTCTGAAATTTCACTCTATACCCCACGTCCATAAACTGCATGAAATAAACGAAAACAAAACGGCTAAAGGTCATACTTATCATCAAAATTAATGAGTCGAGAACGAAAGAAGAAGAAGAAGGAAAACCCTCTTGCTAGAACCCTTCGCAGTACCTTGAGCGTAATAGGATAACAAGACGACAACAATAAAGATGGGAGGTCACAGGAATCTCGAGGAGGAGGAGGAGGACAAACTTTGGATTGATCTGGGCCGTCCGGTGAGTGTCTCCTGGGAGTTTCTACACCAGTACTAAACACAGGCATGGTCCTTTTCTCTTTAGTGAAAAGGTTAAAGGAAAAAATAAAAGATGAGAGTAGAAAGGAGGGGGACAAAGAGAGAGAATTGATGGGAAATGAGGGTATTGTTTTTATATTTTGGTTTCAGAGAGAGAGAGAGAGAGGGAGGGAGGGAGAGTGCAGGGAAGTGATGATGAAAGCAAGAATGGAGAGAGACCATGAGGGCGTCGCAGAGAGGGGTATATATTTAGGAGAAAAGGTGGCGAATGGTTGCCACGTCAAAGTGAAACGCCTACAGAATATGGGCTGCGTGGCAATTAGATGATCATGTGACAGCTCTTCAAAAGTTGTTCCAACCAAAGTGATCAACCCAGCACCGTTCACTTTCAGACTCCCCTTTCTTTCTCAGATTCTCATCTCTATCGTTCACTTTCAGACTCCCCTTTCTTTCTTAGATTCTCATCTCTATTTTTTTTTTTAATTCTCTTTTATGTTTAATAATAATAATAATATTACTATTATTATAAATCTTAAAAGAGAGAGAAAGAGCTTTGAGATGCGGGAGTGGAGACCGGAGAGGTGGAAAAGCAATTATTACTATATACATAGAGCTGGATTTTAAAATATATCTTGTTTGTGTACTATAAGTAAAAACAATAAGATAGCTGTGTGTGTCATTTTTAGAGTATACTTGTATTAATTTTTAATTTTTAAATTAAATTAAATAAGAGTTGACATGGTCAAAATTCAATTTAAGTTTAATTTTTCAAAAAAATAAAATTTTAATTTAAAAAAAAACTTAAAACAATGCTTTTTTTAATATATCTAAGTTAATTCAACCAATTTAAATATAAGTCAACTTCATTATTATTATTATTATCTCTGGAATATTGATCGATGTTCCTTCTTTACACATCTCTATCGGGTGTGTGTGTATGGTCATAATTCTTTTCTCTTTTTTTTTAAGTTCATTTATAGCTTTATAGATTTACTAAGCTTTACCTTTATTCTTATCATTTTCAATTTCTAATGTTACTCTTATGGATTGCTAAAAGTTTCAATATCATTATTAAACTTTCAAATAACTAGAAAATAAAGCTCATTGTGATTTTTTTTTCTGTCACCTTTTCTTTTCTTTTCTTTTTTCCTTATCATACCCTTTGAATTTTTTGCTCATGAAATTTCAAAGAAAATACCTTTAAAAATTAAATCCAAAGAGTGGCTTGTATAAAGATAACGTATAAAATTTTACACTAAGGGAATAGAACTAAAATATATCAATATATATATATATATATATATATATAGAGAGAGAGAGAGAGAGAGTTAATTATTGAAAATTCTCAGCTCTTATACGGCAGCCTCTTTTCTTTTTTATTCGTTTGTGTTAACCTAGCAACTAGGTATTTTCCCTCACCTAAATATTTTCCATACACTTTTATGTTATGAGACAAACAGAACATATAAATAGAAATGATATAATCGTATACAAGCATACAAATTATTATAAGAACCAATTTCAACTTTTATTAATCTTAATAGTAAAGAAAATACACAAATATATATGTGTGCTCCCTATACACAAAACTTACATGTTATACACAAAACCAACATAGTATACACCCAAGCTAGCATCCTTTTTATCCTTGTGTTCTGCTTGTCTTGTAATAAAGGAGAGTGTGGGAAACTTCTAGATTTGAGGAAACACATAGTTGCTAGAAGGAAGATTGGGTCTAGCAGGTAATATAATGTAATGTAACGTAATATATTTGATACTAAAATTCTCATACACATGTAAGACTGATATTTACTGATCTTTCGATATAAATGTTTAAACAGGTGTTGTTAGCAACCAAGTCATATATATATGTTGTACAAATAACTGTTAATGACTTTTCCTGCTTTAAACTAGAAATGTATGTTTTGGACATACACACACCTTCAAATTGAATTTTTATGATCTTTTATGGCTGATTCTGACTTTTAATGATTGAATTTTGTTTTTTTTTTAAACTTTTTTTTAGTGATAAGTAAAGTAATAATAGAGAATTACAGATTTCATAAGTATTAAATGGTCGTTAATTAGAGAGTAAAAAAGAGTTGCTATCACTTGTGATTGTATGAAATTTTTTTACTATATGGTTTGTTTATTTTTATATATATATATCTAAAAAGAATAACACTCGGGGTTTATTCGTGATGGGTGGTTGTGAAGAGCTAGAAATATTTGTTAAGAGGGACAATTTTTATAATAGATAAGAAACAGGAAAATTATGAAAATTTGAATGTACAAGGACAAAGCAGAAAGAATGGAAAGAAACATTTCCCCTAATACCTTCACAACTGTTAATTAATGAGTGAAAGGATGAAGATTGGAACTTGAAGTAGCTGAGATCATACTTTTAAGACTTGATTTGGTGGTTTGGCCTATTCAAAGTTTAGATTTTAGGTTTTAATCAAATCAATTTGTTGAATCATATTATTTTCTTGTTTTTTTCAACCTGATCTCGTTTTTAACTTGTAGGTAATTAGACGGGGTTTTAAAACTATAATTAAAAGATTTGAGTAACAATGCACACAGAATATATATATATATATATATATATATATATATATATATATAAACTGTAGATGATATAAAATATAGCTTTTTTATATAAAGGAGACCATTTTATAGGAAAAAAAAGCTAAAAATAATATGAAATAAATATTAAAATTTATTAACCAATTTAAATTTTAGGGGGCATGCTCCCACGTGCAACCCTTCATCTCGTCCTTGATAATTAAGGTTTAAATCTTGAGAAAGATTATGTTCAAGGTACCATTCTACTTCTAAAAGAAATGGGGTGCAAACCACTTGTAAGCAAAAGGCTTTTTTTTTCTTTTTTTTTTCAATTTCTTTCTCAGAGTTTTTTAACAATTATCTAGATTGATTTTAGATTACTTCATATCAAAGAAAATCAGATACAATTTAATTTGAAATTTAAGTTAGGAAAAAAGTATTTTTTGTCAATGTTATTATTATTTTTTAATTTTATTCTTAGATTTTTTTTTACTAGTCTGTCAGATTATTTTTAAATATATTAAGTTGACTAGGTCACATTAAACCAACATTTACACAATGTAATTTTAAACTCAGGTTAGGTAAAGAATTTAAAATTTTGAGAGCTTTTTTATATTAATTTAATTATTATTTTTTTAATTTCATCCTCATATTTTTTTACTAGTTAGTTAGGTTATTTTTAGATTGGATAAATCGATCAAGTTATATTAAGATAAATTTCACATGATTTAATTATAAATTCTTAAGTTATTTTTGGATTGGATAAGTCGATTAAGTTATAAAATAATTTTTATATGATTTAATTTTAAATTCAAGTTAGATAAAGAATCGGGTTGAAAGATTTTAAATTTAACCTACTAAATTAAATTTAATAAAATACCAAATAATTCTTCATGATATAAATATTTTTAATTATGTTAAAAAAGCATTAATATAAACCGCATCATCACCCTTTCGTTTACAATTTAAGGCTAAAACTCAAAAACTTTTGATGCATTTTCACATATCCATAGTTGTATATTATTAATGTAATGACCTAATAGTTATGTAGAACATATGTACAGAGAACCTAAATCTCTTTTTTTAACCTTTTCTGTGAGAATGAGAACCTAGAATATATATTTTTTTTTTTGCAGAGTATCTTCAGTGTATAAAGACTGAAAAAAAAACCCATCTCTTGACTCAGCTCTTCACAATCTCAGCCAACTACGAACAGCTAAGAAAATGGTTAAGAGAATCTAAATTTTATGGTCAAAGAACATGTCTAATCGTGTATTGTTTTTGTGTCCCTTCTACGTACTGTAACGTAAATTCTGATAACATATTGGTTTAAAAACACTACACTGAATTGTTATATTAAACCTAAATTGGTTTTATCCTTTTCTAACCAAGACTTCAAACACAAACAATTAAAAAATATATTTAAAAATAAACAACAAAAAATGGAAACTAGCAAATGATACCGAGCCTGTTAGTATAATACTACACTGAAATTTAATTTAATTTAATTTAATTTAATTTTGATAGTATTAATGCTTAAACCCTCAGTACAGCACCGAACCAAAATTTTCTCACTTTTGATAAATGAATTACGAGATAAAATAAGCTCAAGATATTTTAATTTCCTAAAAATAGATATATCAATACAGAATGATCATATATATTTCCAGAATGTTATACATCATTGACTAAACTGTTTTTTAAAATGAACAGAAAAACGTCTCTTGTTTTTAATTTCTAAAAATATATATGAATTATAGATATTGATCTAGAGTAACTATATATGTATGAGACATTATTATAGCAACTAAAAGTGGTGGTAATTTTATTGCTTATCATCACACAAAATACTTTTAATTTTAATAATGTGTTTTTTTCTCTTTGGTTTTTTTCTATATCTATATTTTTTTTCTAATTTTTTATTTTAATATTTAGTTTATTAAAAATTAAACTTTATAATTTATTATAATTTTTTTATACGTGATTAGTTCGATCTCACAATCCATGTAACAGAGTTTTGCGAGTTAACTCAATAAACTCAATTTTTTATATTTATATTTGTTTTTTAATTTTATTATTTACCATTAAGTTGATTGAGAATTAGACTTCATGATTTATTTTGGTTTGCTTTCTATGAGGTTATCTTGGTCTCATGACTCAGGTTGTAGATTTGGTAAGCTAACTTAGTTAACTCAGTTTTTTTGTGTTTTTTATGAAAAAATTTTAATTTTATCTTTCAACATAAAGTTGATTATAGATTAAACTTCATGATTATTTTGATTTGCTTTGTAAAAGGTTATCCTAGTCTTATAATTCAGGTCACATATTTTGCGGGTTAACCTTTATTTGCTTAGAAGATCTTTTATACAACTATAAATATAAGGAAATTAGTATTATTAATATGAATAATTCATGTTAAGAGTTTTAAGAATGGATAAACAAAGTCTTCTAGTCTCGATATGTGTCTATAATGACTTCTAGACTAAAGGATTTAACACGTAACTAGACCCATATTTATTTAGGTTCAATACAAATGGTTGAATCCAAGTATGTTAGATCTCGAAGATCGCATGACCTATGATTTTTCAGGTTCAAGATATAATCGAACCTAAATAGATTAAGTCAAGAAACTC